TAACCCCAGCGATTCAGTGGTGACGCCGTCTGCCACAACAAGCAGCGCTGGTGCTAACCTAACCCTGCTGTTTGTCTGTAGCCAGAGGAAGCCAAGGGGAGACACAGACTTTGAACAAGGGTCACAGCGAAGCAGGGGAGAAGGATTTTATGGGCCAGGATCTCTTGCTGCAAACACAGTAGTACAGTTCCTCCTTCCACCCCTCAGTTACCCCTTCTTTTGGGCTATTAACGCCTGTGAAGGGTCATGGCTGATACCAAGAAGCAGGGGATTCAAGCAAGCAAATAGAGGAGATGGTATACACCAGAAAACCCTTCCAGAGCTCTCTGGACAAGCCCTGCTGCTGCCTGAGCCCTGGATTGTGCCCATGTTGCATTGGCCTGCATCCCCCTCGGGCATTCACTCCAGCTCAGGCCAGTCTGGTTTTACATAAAGCTAGAGGCACCAAGGCAGGTAGCTGAGACTAGATTCCCACCCCTGAGTGTGTAATACATGGAGAATCCCCACCCCCTCACAGAGGTGCAGCGTATGCCTTGGAGGCAGGAGCAGGCCATGCCCTCCCCCCGCCCCCCTGGTCTCAGCCAAGATTGGTGGCTGCTGAGCTGCAGGTCAGATCAACGCACAGGCTCTTTGCTAGCCCAACCTGTGTGTCCGCTATGATGCCTCTCGCGGTTGAAAGCAACTCCTTTCTCAGTCAGTACGGACCGACTCCATGCATCTAAACATGAGGTGGTGCTCTACATTGTCTGGCGTCCCCGTGCCTCACTGCTGGAGCTTAGTACCAGTGTGCTAATGCCTATTGGCTGCCTGCCTGAGCCCTGCTCCCTGGGCAGCAGCAATCCTGACACTTCACTCTAAGAAAGTATCCCTCGCTCATCAGGTACAGCCCTGCCTGGGGGAGGATGCTGTGTGTATTCCCATCCTGAGGAGCAGTCACGGGGAGAGTCCAGAAGCTTGTGGGGTAATAAAACCTGTTGACAGCAAAAAGCATTGTCACCAGTTTTCCTCTCCCCCCATCCACACCTTACCCCTTCACACAGCAAAAGCTCAGCAGCTGCTGCGGGCAGGGCTCAGCCCAAAGCTAGACACAAGGGCTGGATACAAGCAGGAGGGAGCAGATATGGTGCATGAGACTTGAGCTTGGGCATAAAGCTTCATTTTGTCACCCGAAAATGCCAGGTTTGGATCATGCTTCATGCATGTGTGCCACGGTCTGTCGCAGTGGGGAGCTGTCCCTTTTCTTTTGTACTGAACAGCGTTCTAGTCCGTTTCCTGCACTTCGACTTTATGGAGTGCGCCTGCGGGGTGGAGGCTCTCCAGATGTACCAGCAATGCCCTCAGTCACGCTGCAGATGAGAGAGGCACCGAGTGAAAGGAAACAGGCAAATTACTGGCCAGGCACTGCTGTGAAGCAGGAAGAAAGAGAGCAAGCAGGTATTTGATCAACTGTCCTTCAGCGATAATTAGCCTGATATCACCCCTCCAAGTCCACAAGACTTCTGGGGATTTTGCTCTTTTATTCAGCATCAAACTAATTGCCAGGCTAGGAGAATTCCTTCCTTCCTGGCCCAAGTCTCACAAAGACCATGGACTTTGCCCTTTCACTATAACTGGAACAAAGAAAAGAGCAAGTCAAACTAGATGGCTTCAGGCACAGCTGCTTCCTAATGGATGAATGAAGAGATGGAAGGCCCAGAGAAAGCGAGGACAGCGTGAATCCAAGCAGCAGCCTGATGCACAAAGGTTTGGAGCAAGCAAAGCCTTTCTGCTGAATCCTCTCCACTGACAGGAAGCAAGCAGCTGGCACACCTGCTCCTGCCCTACAGCAAGTGCTCCTCTCCATGCAGCAGGCTGTTGAACCAAACCTCCCGACTCCCTGCTATTCAAGTGCTTCTCCTAGCCATCGCTCCACATCACTCATAACCTGATCTCACTTCCAGCTGCTTGGCTTTGGGCCCTCGCTGAGTTTGAACCTACCTGCCCTGCCTCCTGCATGCTGTGGGGAAACATCCAGACATGTCTCCCCTGTGCCCACGTGGATGAAGGTCACCACCGTAAGCCAGAGCATCGCTCAGCTCCATCCCCCCAGACCCACTGCCTGAAAGCCCCCATGAAGGGCGGAGCTGAGGGGCTTGACACAGCACCAGTCCTCTGTCCAGCATAAGACACTGACTCCTGATGTGAGAGCTGGTGCTGCCCTGGGCTAGGGGAACAAGCAAAGGGCACTGTCAAGGCAGACACCCACCTTCATAGTTGTGTCCATGGCTCTGGCTGCAGTTCCCAAAGAGCTGCTTGTTTTTTGCACCACCAAGTGCTTTACCGGAGTGAGACCAACATGATGAGCGAGGCCTTCAGCCCGCAGGCATGGGACACCAAGGATCTGCTGTGACAGGCCAAACCCACTGCCTACCTGCATCTTTGTCTTACTCTTGCACCTGAGAGAAGCTGGCAGAATAGTTTGCAACAGGCTCTTACTTTGTTCTCTAAATCACACCCTATCTGTTCCACACCAGAAACCCTAATCACAGGCAATGAACAGCAGCCAAGTTGCAGCATTTGCATAGAGCATGAGTTTTGCACTGTTAAGTGCCACAGTGTGAATGGGGGCAAGTTTCCTGTCTCATAAAACACCCATATCCCTGCAGCAAGAAGAGGAACCGCAGGTCTATTGCAATCTGCCACCCATGCCACACTGCCTGGCTTCTTCAGCTGCCTATGACTGGCCCCACGTGCCCGGCATTTCCCACACTACTGAAGTACATGAAGTGTTTGGTGCTTTCCATCCCGCAGGAAGACAGGGGAGAAGCGGTCAATGTAAAGGAAAGGAGGCAGAAGTGGATGAGGTCACAGGATATAACAGGCTGCTCTGAGCCCCGGTCTATTAGAAAGTAGCGAGTTTCCTGCAAACCCACTATTACCGTCCAATTCCCCTTCCTCCGTAGCTCAGTCCCTTGTGCTCTTCCCAAGCCAGTTGCCAGACCTGACACCACACTCCAACATCCCTCCTCACCCCTACACAGCTGGGAGACGCGTATCCCCCTTTGAGAGAGTATGCAGCAGAAAAGCGGTGCCAAAGATGCAGTGAGTCTTGTAGGAGACCATGAATGCAAGGAAAGCACTTGAAGACCTACAAAAAACTAGAGCTCTTGGTTCTAAAATGATACCTTTTATTAAACCAAGTGGGAAATCGTAAGAAAACTGGAAAGTACCTGGGCACTTTGAAAGATCGTGTGCAGCTGATGGCCCCAAACCAACAGCATCTTACCCCAAAGCACCAGCCCACAGCTCAGTATGCGCCTCTCTTCTGCAGCTTTGCCAAACATCAAAGCTGGACAAGACAGGGAAGGAGCTGCATCTGTCCTAGTTTCAGCACTGGAGTCGGGGCGTGCACTGCTGAAGTCGGGCACAAACAGCATCAAACAGCGTAGGGTTGGGTCACCCCATCACATAAATACCGGCAGCCTGTCGTGTGAACAACCCACGGGCGGCATCGGGAGCAAGGGCTGTGGGGCAGAGGGGAGTGAACCGATGGCTCTGCTGTGCTGGAGGGCAGGGCTGATCCCACCTGGAAGCTTGAGTAGGGAAGCACTTTTCCACTCGAGGTTCACCCTGTCACTGCCTGTGGCACAGATGGGGCATGCCCTCTAGGGCTGGCACAGCTCAGCTGGCTTAGGCGCATCCAAAACCCTAGCATGGTCCAGAACAAGTCACAAGCCTCTTCTCCAAATCCTGCTTGAACCTGCGCAGGAGGAGCTGGCAGCCATGTCATCACCTGGCTCTGTGTGCCCACTTCCAGCCATGACCCTTGTTGCTGTCACGGCAGCCTTTGGGAGGGAAAAGCACAGCAGGGTGAGCGCCCAGGGGCCTGAGACGGTGGGCAGGAGACGGCCGAGGGACGGGGGAACGAAGGCTATTAACGGCCAGAGTGCTGCTTCCCAATTAATAGCTTTGATCTAGTCCGGGCTATTGAACAGCGAAGTTGGAGATGTTTCCTCGGGCCTCTCCACCCCAATAAACGCTGGGTACCAGGGAGGAGGGCTCCGAACGGGGGCCGACCGACCACCGCGGGACTCTGGGCCCGTCCTCGCCCGCGTAGCATCCGCTCCTGCCACTGCCGGGAACCGCCCTCAGCCATGGCGCCCGCCCCGTCTCCAAAGCCGGGCACGAGCTGAGCGCGGAGGCCTGTCCCTCGGGAGAGAGGAAGGGCGAGGCGGGCCCGCGACCGCGATACCGCGGCGCCCGGGCAGCCTTCGCCTCGCAGCTCGGCCGGAAGAGACGCGTTCGCGGACGCAGGCAGACCGTGCGTGTGCAAATCACGTGCCTGCGTGCGAGCGCGGCTGCGCGCTGCCGCGGGACAGGGC